AGATAGTATGTGTCATTATTCAGGTATGTCATCTATATCACACACACACACACATATATATATATATATATATATATATATATATATAGTACATAATCAAATGAAAACAGATTTACAGATGGCACTTCACAAGCTGTGGGAAATTATACAGGTATTACAACTATATGTAAAGATACACGTGTTAAACTTTCCAACAGATAGTATGTATCAAATTTAATTATTTATTCACTATTATGTTGCAATACATGTGTAAACAATTACAATATGCCGAGTACAAGTTTTAATGAATTATAGTGTTTCCTAACATTCGAATTTTTCAGCATCTCTATGCCCTTGGAGTTCCCGTAAAAACGATTTTTGTTGGCTATCTAGGGAGTACGGGAATTATGCTTTTCAACACAGCGTTTGTTATTCCAAAACATAAATGTAAAAAAACGACAACTAGAAGATTTTCTATATATCCTGATGTCACTGATGCCTCAGTTCAAAGACTAGCGACATTTACAAATTTACCAGATATTGAAGGTTAGTATTTATGTATTCAATTATATGTGTTTGGTTACACAAGACATTGTAGCACCGTCCACAAAATGTATATGAACACAAAAACGTTAATTGAACATTATAATTTGGATAACTATGCGTATGTGTGTTATTATCCGATAATTGTTCCATCTACAGCACCCAATAAAAGATGGTTAAAGGGCGGTGGTCGGCGCCAAACGCATGCGCGAGATATGGGCCGCATATAAACAAAGATGGCGATTTTAACTGTTGTGCACACCAACGAATACAAATTGAGCGGTTACGAAACTAATGTATTTTATCCTGGAAGATATCAAATAAATCGCCGGCGGTAATTAGTGCAAGTGGTGCCAGGGGCAAAACTGGTACTTATGATTTCATTAGAAAAACGCACTGCATTGTGGGAAAATCAATTTATCAACAAAAATGTCGCACATGCGCGGCGCGACTGTTTCTCTAATCAACATGTGAACAAATATGACGATGTCCATTATATTGTCAATATATGATATTTTTGAGCGTTTCAAGTGTACAGAGAGGTTTGCAGTACCATAACACGATTTAGCCCCATTTTTATTCAAACCTTGACCTGTATCACGTGACTAGCAACCGGTATATTTCGTACTTCGAACAGTAATGTTTTTCAGACCAGTGTCATGAGAAAATGTCGAAGTACAAATTCTAATGGTCCCTGGAAGCACAGTACTCGAAGCCACTAAGGGATGAAGCTGATACACACTTGGGGAAAAACTGGACCACCTGCAAGCTAATAGAGATACTACAGCTTGCACTCACAATTTCACTAAATTAAGAAAATACCCCTTCAACCTACACAAAACTACATTTAGACACAATATCCTCTTCAGTTCAGCCAACTAGACTAAATACCCTTTCAGACCGCCGAAATAGACGCAATATTTTTCCAGGCCACCCAATTATACACGTGTCTTTCAGTACACCTAACAAAACACTGTAAAGTTTAGTACACCCAACTAGACACCCAATTAGACACCATGTCTTTCAGTACACCATTAGACAACGTAATATTCAGTACACCCAACTAGACACCATATCCCGCAATACACCCAACTAGACAACGTATCCTTCAGTACACCCAACCAGACACAATGTCTTTCAGTACACCCAGATAGATACCATATCCTTTAGTACACCAAACTAGACATTGTATCTTTCAGTTCACCCAACTAGACACCATATCCTGCAGTACACCCAACTAGACAACGTATCCTTCAGTACACCCAACCAGACTCGTTATCTGTCAGTTCACCTAACTAGACACCATATCATGTAGTACACCCAACTGGACATTGTATCCTTCAGTACACCCAACTAGACAATGTATTCTTCAGTACACCCAAATAGACACTGTATCCTTCAGTACACCCGACTAGACAATGTATCCTTCAGTACACCCAACTAGACAAGTATCCTTCAGTACACCTCACTAGACACAATATCTTTCAGTTCACCCAACTAGACACAATATCTTTAAGTACACCCAACTAGACACAATATCGTTCAGTACACCCAACTAGACACAATATCGTTCAGTACACCCAACTAGACACAATATCTTTCAGTACACCCAACCAGACTCGATATCTGTCGGTTCACCCAACTAGACACCATATCATGTAGTACACCCAACTAGACATTGTATCCTTCAGTACACCCAACTAGACAATGTATCCTTCAGTACGCCCAACTAGACACTGTATCCTTCAGTACACCCAACTAGACAATGTATCCTTCAGTACACCAAACTAGACAAGTATCCTTCAGTACACCCAACTAGACACAATATCTTTCAGTTCATCCAACTAGACACAATATCTTTAAGTACACCCAACTAGACAAGTATCCTTCAGTACACCCAACTAGACACAATATCTTTCAGTTCACCCAACTAGACACAATATCTTTAAGTACACCCAACTAGACACAATATCTTTCAGTACACCCAACTAGACACAATATCTTTCAGTACACCCAACCAGACTCGGTATCTGTCAGTTCACCCAACTAGACACCATATC